TTCTATCATGCTTTGTCACTTTGTGCCTTAAGCCTTAAATCATGTCCATCTTAAAGTTTCTGGCAGTTTATGGTGCAAGCCTTTGTGCCCTGCTTCTTGTAGTCCAAGAGATAAACAAAGCTGAGTTGATCCACATGCCAAAGAACCCTGCCGAAGCGGCGACCAGTCACCTTTCAACAAATTGTTTCGTCACTCTCGTTTCGCCGGACTGAGCGTGGTGCTTCAAGGATGTGGCATCCAATAGCACCGGCTGTGGAGGGCCCTCATCGAAGGAATACTGCCTCATGGGCACCCCTCGAAGAATCCACACCGGCGGATTTGAGCATGCTTTGAAAGTGGATCTTTTTGACGCAAAGGGTTTGGGTGGGCAGCAGAATTGGACACACAAAAGGTGACCAGGTCTTGACTCAGAGACATAGTTAGGAGTTCCGAAACAACAGAAGAAGACCGTAGAGTAGTGTGACCTTGGGTAGATCTTGCTTGTCCGTTCAACAACAGCTGTAGTTCATAGTTCAAAGCTGAAGGTTCCAATTTTTAACGAACCCCCTGAATATAGTTGAATGCAATGCCTGTGATGCCTGCAATGTCTCCTTCTTTTGTCACACAAATCAGACGAAGTCAGACGCGTCATGCACAGACACGTCAACAATCAGACACAAAGTCAGGCAACCTTACAATTCCTCCCATGGAACCTCACCTCACGAGCTCCACTACAGATCATACAGATCTAAAGTGATCTGTGTTCAATCCAAATCTGCTTGTGCAAAGTCTGCAAACACTGGTACATTCAGACGACTGAGAGGCTGGCAAAAGAGCAGGCTGGATCATGACCAGAGAGTTCATGGTATTTTCTCGCAAGATCAGCCTAAAGCAAAGAGATGACCGAACCGATGGCCGCTGACAGAACATGTGTCATCTGTTTCGAACATGTGCTCAATGCTTTGGCAAAGACACTGGTGCGTCCGTCAATCAATCAATCAATCAGTCAATCAAGGCGCACCCGGTGTTGCTTCAAACGTGGATCCGAGGATGTCTTTTGGGTTGCTAGTTGTTAGCCATGCACCTCCGAACTCTGAGCATGTCTCGATGTACTCGGCAAGAATTCAACCAATCTCGAAGCTCCTCCACTTGGCACCCGGGCATGCGATAGTATGCTGTCTCGTCCGGACTTGCATTGAATGTTTGCAAGAAGTTGCTACGTCGCAAGTGGTACCTCAGCCGAGGGTAGTAAAGCCAATCTCCACCCACTTTTCCTTAGTCACTGTTCCTTAGATCGGTGATCTCATCTTTCAGATCTTTCAGATCTTTCAGGCCAAGGTGGTTTGACATGCTGAGCTCTTGACATGAATTGTGGGAAGATCGACATTTCTGGACTCAAGTGGAAGCTCGAAGGATCATCCTGGCTGCGCGGAGCGACACACCGTCTGACCGGAGGACGACGTGAGTGTCGTGGTGGCAGACCAGAGTTCTGGCGACGTCCCGGTCGAGGTAACGGTGGCAGCGACGGTGGCAAGGAGCCTTACAAATCATAGATTCAAAAAGTCCCTTTTTGTTAAGTTCTTTAGGAAGCTGCAGAAAAGTAATGGCGATGGCCTCCAACCTACTAGCGGTGGCCTCCAACCTACTAGCGACGGCCTCCACAGCGTCCCTTTTCTTTTCTTTGGGTTTTGCATCTCTTGGCCACTTCCAAGACTTGCTTGAAAGCCAGGCCGCTCGGACACAAAAGCTGAGCAAAAAGACCGGCCTTTGGTGGTCACTTGGTGGATGCCGGTGGATGCCGTGGACCGGCATGGACCGGCCACACACCACAGCCGGGTGCCAGGTCGAGACTGGGCTTCGGCTTCGAAGCCCACGTGACAAACGGCTTCACCAAGGAAAGGAACACACCTACACACCTTGCCGGCGTCCATGTTTGGGAGACATAGCACTCCAAAGATGACTAGAAAATGAGGTCCCGAGTCCCTGCCAATTGTTCCAGAGTAAGCCGTGAGAGAACGAAGGAGTGAGAGATGCCAGTCTGACTAAACAGTCTTGGATCATCTCAAACTTGGGTTGTTTCCAGTGTATTACTCTAGTCAATGAGGATGCTACGTAACTGGAACAAGAACATGCCTGTGTCAGGGACAGGATACTCACAATTAGAGACAGTACGGTTGATCTCAAGAAGACTGACGAAGGACTGCCTCTGCATCAAAGTCAGATGTGAATGTCCCGTGCAAGACGGGTCACCCAGGGACACCCAAGTGCCGTGCAACTTGACGCTGAGACACGCACGTCAGCGAGCCACTCCCCCCACTGCGAGACATTCACAAGCGCAGTCGCTATCTTCTTCAGCAATGCAGTGGCGAATGACATTGCAGCAAGATGCCCCGTTAAACCTTGTGATTAGGAGACCAAATATCAGAACTCAAAACACAGTTTGGTTGTGTTCCTTGGAGCGTCTGAATGGCCGAAGTCAAATAAAACCCTTGGTATCTCCTGGTGATCTGGAACTTGTGGGTGTCTTGCGAGCTCCCAGAACTCTTTGACTTTAGCAACATGTCTTGATCTGCTGATGTCAATGTGCGCTGGTTGTGACAAAATGTCAGCAACATGTCTGGAGCACTCAAGGCGCACCTGCCAGAGTCCGCACTGCAAAAGCTAATCAGCCTATTGACGTTTGCTGAGGAGAGCTGAGCGAAAGCTGTTGACCAATTCCAGTGGCTTTTTGGTGGCACCGGAGGGTTTAGGGATTCCATTGATCAAGGCCAGGCCACCCCTGGCGACCGTTTCTCCCTTGGCTCTCATGACACAAATGAGGTCTCCTCAACAACAGTGGAAATGCTGGAAATCCCGCTGGAAATCAAAGCGGGCAGGAAAGGTGGGATGGAAATATATCGGCTGTCCATCTCTTCTGCTCTTTTGGGGAACCCCGTCCTTGTGTAGAAAAGCTCTTGAACAATGAGTGTGAGTCATCAACGAACAATGGAATGGAATGTTGGCAGTTCGAGATGAAGCCTCAAAAAGTACTCACTTGTCTCGACCACATTCAGAAGCAGGTTCTGAACCGCAATCAATATCTGTCTATTACAACATCCGTCCAATTCTGGGCAACAAGAATGTGATCGGAGAAGTAGAGTCGAGTCGGAGTCGCTTGAAACACATCAATTGAAATTCACTGAAATGATCCGACGGACAGGTGTAGCAGTGGCAGGTCCTAACCTGCTACAGTGACTGGACATCGCATCGCTTTGGCATCGTGCTAAGGCATCTTGAGGCTTTGGCTCTGCCTTGGGACCACCAGCACGAGCGCAGGAGACTGCACACTCCAATGGCCGAGTTGTGGTCAAAGGCTAAAACAAAACTTCATGCTAGGCTATCCGGTTCTCTCAGTGCCCGGCACCTACAAGCAAACGAATAGCCTTCTGTCCAATGTTCCACATCCTCACGAATGCAGCACATTCTTGAGGAACTCCCCAATGTATTCTCTCCCTCTCTCTCCCTCTCTCTCTCTCTCTCTCTCTCTCTTTGGGGGTCATCTGACATGGAGACTGGTAGAGCACAAGCCGTTGAGCGTGGGAGAGCCCCCGGCCTTGATACTTGCAGCTTGAAAAAACAATGCAGTCTCGTTGGAGACCGGAGTTTTGGTTGCGCCCTTGGCAGCAAGGTGGCCTGGGGCCGGGCATCGGGACACCGGGCATCGGGCATTACAAGATGGGGAATTGAAAGGACCTTGCACAGGAGCCCCTAGTAGCGTCCTTGCTCCTAGTAGCGATGCCAGGAGCCCCTAGTAGCTTCTTGTCCTAGTGGTAAGGCCAGGAGCCCCTAGTAGCGTCCTTGCCCCTAGTAGCGATGCCAGGGATTTGTGGAAGGTTAGCCCTTCCAAAGAAGGGAGGCTCCAAGGCTGGAAGCCCAGTATCCAGGGCTGGGTGCCAGGTGTAACACAGCTGGGTGAGAGCCAACGTTTCATGTCAACCAGCATTTCTCGCTCCAAGAGCGTCTGGTTCAACTTCTCAACGCCAGGCTTGCCCAAGCGAGGAAACTGAGCAAGCCAAGGTGTTTGATTCGTTCGAACAAACCAACTGCTCCATCAGCCCACAGCTTCTGTGTCCCACACCGGCGCATCTGGGCGCTACACTACAAGCTGAAGACCAGCTGCGTCGGAAGCTTCAGGTCCTCAGTGCGGCGCATCTGGTCGGTGCAATTCAAACCCGTCGTCAGCTTGGAAACGCTGAGGGTCTCAGAAAAAAGAGGACAAACAACCAGCATCTTCATCTGCTGTCCCCAACCCCAGTGATACCGTGCTTGGGTGTCTCCCAAGACACAAAAGACCAGTGTCCTCATCCTCCTGCAATGTCAAAGTCTGAGGTCACTGCCACAGTTGCCTGGGTCGCCTCGTGCCTCACTGGAACATTCAAATTGTTCGCCTGAAAAGCAGCGGTCACAGCGGAGCAGTACTGTCATGACTGTCCTTCCCTTCAGCGTGCCATGTTCATTCCTCGGTCAGCCTTGATGCATCATGATGTTGCTGCATACATGC